AAGATTCACACACTTACACACACTAAAACTCCTCTCTTCTCTCTATTCTGTACACTCCTTTTCTGTTCATCTTTTTCCTCCTCAACTACCTAACACATATATATATACTTGTGGAATATAGGCCATAAATGGGTTTACGGCCGTAAATGGGTTTACGGCCGTAAACACCCATTGGGCCGTAAATACAACTGCAAAAATATATTACACGACCAAAAACTATTAATGCCTAGAAAAGTAAAGTATAAACCAATATTTTGACCCAACACAAGAGTCAAGGATTAGTAATTTAATTACTTCTTCTGTTACAAGTTTAGAAGAACGTATGGATTCTCATTCGAGTTCTTACAAGCATGATGTGAAGGAGTTACAAAATTCTGCTCAAGAGTGACATGAAATTTTTTGAGAAGTTTGTGAACACTTCGCAAGAGTCTATTAAAGCAAATATTAAAGATTTTGTTGATATGTTTAATAAAGAAGTAATGAAGCTTGATAAGTTTTGTGTGGGGATAAAGGATAATATAGATGTTCTTATGGGAGCAACTTGTACCTTGATTGAAGACATTCGTGCTTTCAACAAGGAATATTCTGGCGAGTTGAAGTTGAAGAAAGAAGATGTGAAGGTGTTTCCCAGTATCGAAAACTCTCTTACTAGTTTTCATGAATCTTTGTCTAAGTTTGATTTATCAACAACTTCGATCTCTAAAGATCAAATTTCTTTGTTTCAAGACAGAACTTGCTCTAATTTTAGATATTGTTCTTTGATTACCAACCAATGCTCCATGTCCGTCTGCGACCATGTCACAAGGAGAATAAAGGGGGGGGGGGAGGGGTGGTTCATTGAAAGACAGTGGAGAGGATTCCAAGGGGGATAAATGTAGTTGGTAAGCTGATCTATACTCAGATTCCAACTTCCTTCCCAATGAAATCAATTGTGACATCTTCGACAACAACAATTGTTACCCCAAACATCGAAGTCGATATGTCAAAGCTCCAATCAAAGAAAGGGTTGAAAATCAGCAAAGGAGGTTCAAGTTCTTCAACAAGTAAACATGTTACTACTTCTGATCCAAAAGATAAATGGAAAGGTATAAATATGGAACCTACACTGGAAGAGATAAAGAAACAGCAAGAATTGGAAATGGAAAATATGAAGCTCCTGAATAGCATAATGAGGATGAGAGTGAATGATCCACCAAGTCTTAAGAAGGGAGATCCTAACAAGTTTGGTGTTATGAAACAATTTAATGTGCAAATTTTGGCGAAGTAGATTATTTTGATAAGTGGCCAAAGAAAATTTTTGATATTGAAGATTCAAACTTCAATCAACTGGACTTTCCAATCAGTCATTGGATGTTTATTTTTGCTCAGTTCAAAATGGCTGAGAATTATAAGGATCGTGATGAGTTCAAGAAGTTGAAAATTCGTTTCCATTCAGTTCAGTAAAGAAGGAAGAAAAGGTGTGGTCATTGGTGAAGATAGTCAAAGTTATGTCGATAACTCTAGATACGGTGTTTGAAGTAGTTTTGCAAAATTATTGATATACTGTCGTCAACGCGAGAACATTTTATTCGGCTTCATCATTGTCGATTTCCCTTTGATGAATCTTAATGATCTCATTATGATTTCGAAGATCTTGGGAGATTTAACGAATTCCAAAATTCAATATAAAGCTTTATATGTCATTAGGTATGTCTACAACAAAACTTATTTGGACTGTTGTTATGCTTATCTAGCATGAACAAATATTGATCTCTCTACTGCCGTCAACAAGAAGTCGAAAGTTCCTAAGGCTTTGTTGAAAGGAAAATCAAAATTGATGATTATGAAGATGGAGAAATCGTTCATCAACCACTGGGAGTTGTTTTCCAAGGCAAGAAATCTAAGGAAGGGAAAAAGAAAATTTTATTTCGTACTGATGATGTGAAAGATATTCAAACCAACATCTTTCAAGCGTTCTCCTTCGCATCAACAACTATCAGAAGAATATGAATGAAGACATGGTGGAGAAAAGAAAGATCATCATATGGTACATGGAGATCAGAAGAGTTTTGCTACAAGTAATCAAGACACAACCCTCAATATGAAGATTAGACATTGATCACAAAGGGGGATATGTCGAACCTTAGGTTGTTGTCTTAGTAGCGAACGTGTTGTCTCTATCGAAGGTCTCTATGACGTCGATATGTATGTATTTTACTAGGCACTTATGTACATTCAATTTCAATGCCGTAGTCCTAGTTATTTTTTGTATCCGTGAGTATCCTATAAATAGGGTATGTATATAAGTGTGTTGAATTTTTTTGTGTTTTTACGCATTGAGCTTACTCTCTCTCTCTCTCTCTCTCTCTCTCTCTCTCTCTCTCTCTTTCTCTCTTTCTCTCTTTCTCTCTCTCTCTCTATGTCTCTCTCTCTCTCTCTCTACAACTACACTTGTACTAATTCCAATTAACTATGGTTTACTTTGCGATTGATTCACACTTTGTTCAAACATCCTTTCAGGAGGTGAGAAAGTTTGGTGTGTGAAATGAAGAGGAAAAACAACAATTTATAGGCGAATTTGGGAGGCGCGCCGTGTGAATTTTCGGGTGCGTTTCACACATATGGTCAGGGGTGCTGACGTGGCTCTTCTCAGAAGTTGAAATGTGGCGAGTTTCGGGTGGTGTTTCATTTTGCGCCGCACACCTTGTCAGCGCACCATGTCATGCTCTGATTTTATAATACCTCAGGGGCTAATGTAACTATTTTAGTAAAATTGAACTGTCTCAGTTCTCGGGCAATCGCACCAAAAACTTGCGTTCCTTTTGGATTTCTTTCTTGATCAATCACAATTGCGGCATTGTCATCATATCGTATTATCATACCATTGTCACGTTTAATTTCTTTACAAGTACGGACAATTACAGCTCTGACCACTTCTGATCTTTCTAGAGGCATGTTTGGAACTGCGTCTTTGATCACAACAACAATAACGTCACCAATATGAGCATATCGGCGATTGCTAGCTCCTACGATTCGAATACACATCAATTCTCCAGCCCCGCTGTTATCTGCTACATTCAAATGGGTCTGAGGTTGAATCATATCATTTTTTTCTTTTTTTTACAATACAAAGTTCGAAGAAAAAAAGAAATATTGTTTGTCCAAAAAAAACCCGCACCCGCTATTTTTTTACCCAAGGCCTATTTCTTTTTTATCCCGAAATGATGAATTGAGCTCGTATAGGCATTTTGGACGCTGCTATTGAAATAGCCCTTCTGGCTATATTTTCTGTTACTCCACCCATTTCATAAAGTATTCGACCTGGTTTAACAACAGCTACCCAATATTCGGGAGAGCCTTTACCTGAGCGCTCGCACACACGCAATTTTTAGTTTCTTTAAAAATTCAAATATTCTTCATATGAGCTCCGTTTTTGATATTCATTATATTCACGTGTAGCTATCGACAAGATCTACATCTTTCATTTAGAAGTCGTCGGCTAGTTCTCACTTTACTTATAAAGCTATATTTTTTAAAGGCTGAGACTAATAAAACCCGTATAAAAATCATGACTTATCAATACGAATTCCATTCTTGTCTGTCTTTATATCGACGATATCTTCAACCCTCGTTTAGATTGTTTTTCGTAACAATCGATTGACTTTAATTTCGGTTTCTGTGTCGAACATTGTTGCGCTGAAACTTCGAAAAATCATAGCTTCCTCATATGAAGTCATATTTGGACGTTCTCCATATGTACAATGTTGGTTTTCCAACTACTATGAATTTCATTTAGGTTACTTAGGCTAATAATCACTCTATCTAAAATTCACTTTTTACGATACACAGAGTTATGTCGGTTTAATCGTGAAACTTCGAATAAGCATAACTTCTTCATACGAAGTCAGATTTTGGTGTTTTATATATCTACAAAAATCGTATCGATGTTTCCTACATATTTATGACGATTAGTTGGAATAAAGAATACTATATATCTACTTTTAATGCTATAAACAATGGTTTATATTGAATCCTACTGAAATGTGAAACCGGGGTGTTACACTCAGTTATTGATAGTGACTGTTAGCGACTGAACAAGCCTTATATCGCCTAATAGATTCATTTGCATTATATTTTCTCAAATAGGCACATGCATCATACCATGTTCACACCTACATGTCTAGGAAAAGGTACCAAACATAATTTTTTGCATCTTCCATATTTATTATTGAATACGGGATCTATAAAGCAACCAACAAAGTTGTTGGGAAAGATTGGGTTGAAGCCAACAAATTTGTAGGCTACTTGGATCCATGTAGCAAGAAGTCCACTTAGTAATGGAAATAACCACAGATCGCATGAGGACAACATTTGTTGGTTCTAATAGCAGCGCTTGTCGCGATGTCGACCTCCGGTTTAACGATAATTACAACCTTGATTCGGATTTCCATGTTGAATTCAACCATGATTTCTTCCCTAGACATTCTAAATACGATTGGATAAGTCAACTGAGCATGACTTGAGGATTCATGGGTGAGGAGGTAGTATAATGATGAGTAGAGAGTACATATTGAGACCTTGTGAGGCAGGATTCATCTATAAGTAAGATAAACATTGCTTGAAGAAATGATGGTAGGGTTTTACAGTGTCAGGTTATTCCTATAATTTGGTCAAACTTTTCACAAAGCAATTAATCATGTGGGAAACGATATTTTTTTTCAGCCATTAGTTCGTCAATATTTGCAACT